TTTATTATTATTGTTACATTATTTCTTCTTAGTATTAGCATTATTCAGCAGGGAGAGCCACCAAGTTGATGCAAGTTGTGCCCATATGTGTGTGCACACCCAGACCTGGACACATTTGGTTGGAGCCATGAGCCTATGGACAGAGCGGGAGCTCTTTGTTATTAACCAAAAAAAAAACCCAAAACCAAAACCAAAATTTATTTTTTTCTCTAGAAATTTGGAGGAAGGCATTGTAGTATCTGCTCCAGTTGTTTGTGTGTTGAAATTAAGCTGCTTTGCCTCCTTGAAAAGGGAGAAAGCTGGGTTGGTTAGCTTGCAAGTATATGAATCTATGTATACATGTGAGTAAGAAAATATATATATGTGTGTGTGTGCGTGTGTGTGAATATATATATATATATATATGTGTATGCACATGCTTATATAAATAACCATTTATCTACAAACCTCGTTTCACAAATGTGCATCCCTATTTCCGACACAATCGTGCCACTGCCGAGCGTGCCCGCTCTCGGGGCTGGTGCTGTGCATCCACGCCAGCAGCCTCCGCATCGCTCCCGCCGCCGTTCCACGAATGACATTTGGGAAATGGGGCCGGTGCTGCCCTGCAAGCAGCAGCTGGGGGGGGGTAGGCAAAACCCCAGGTGTGTGCAGGGCAAGGAGGAGGAGGGGGAGCTGTGGAAGCTGGAAATACTTCTTTTTTTTTTTTTTAAATTATTTATTCTGCTGTCGTTAATGTGACACAGGCTGAAATGCCAGCAATAAATACGGGCTGAAGGGCACTGGGACTGTAACTGTCCAACCTTGGGAATGATAAAATAACCTGCCCTCACTCGAGATACGTGTCAGTACCCCCAGGTATTTTAAAATAATTTTGTTGAAGGCTGTAATAATAAAATTTTCTCCTGTGCTATTTCCTCTTTTTACCCTCCGTTATTTCCTCCTTTCTCTCTTTTTTCTTTCATCTTTTCTCCCCCTTTCTTTCCTCTTCTTTCCCCCCAGTTTCTTTCCTCTTTCCTCCCTATCTTTCCTCTTTTTACCACCCCTTTCTTTCCTCTTTTCCCCCTTCTTTCTTTCCTCTTTTCCCCCTTCTTTCTTTCCCCTTTCCTTCTTCTTTCTTTCCTCTTTCTTCCTTCTTTCTTTCCTCTTTTTTCCTTCTTTCTTTCATTTTATTCTTTTTCCTTTTCCACTCTATTTCCCCATTTCCTCCCTTTTTATCAGTTTCACTCCTTTCCTCTCCTCTCTTTTTCTCCTTTTCCCTCCTGCCCTCTTTTTTCCCTCCTCCTTTTTTCATTTTCCCCTCCTCTTTTTAATTTCCTTTTCCTTTTTTCCCATTTCCACTTTTTTCTTCTTTTCCACTTTTTTCCTCTTTTCCACTTTTTTCTTTTTCCCTCTTTTCTACTTTTTAATATTTGCCTTATTTTCCCCTCTTTCCCCCCTTTTTATTTTTTCCTTTTTCCTTCCTTTCCCCCCTTTTAAATATTTTTATTTTCCCACTTTCTCCTTTTTAGTTTTTCTTTTTTTCCCTTTCTTCCTTTGATTTTTTTTCTCCCCTCCCCCTTTTTTCTCTTTAATTTTTTCATCTTCTCCATTTTCTTTTTATTTTTTTCTCCTTTTTCCTGTTTTTTATCTTTTATTTTTCTTTTTTCCCCATTTTTCCTTTCTCCCCCTACCCCCATTTTTCCCCTCACGATAGCACCCAGGCCAGAGGCCAGGAGGTCCCCGTCTCCCCCCCAGTCGCTGAGGTCCCCGGGCACACCTTACTCCCGGCCAGGGCAGCTCCTGCCCCCCGGAGCAGGGGCATCCCGACCCCTGTTCCCTGCTGCCCGGCTGTGCGGAGCCAGAGGCGGTGTCTTATTTTTCGGCGGGTCAGTAAAGGAGCCACCCAGCTCAGTCACTGCGGCTGGGGACAGCAGAGCCCCCTGAGCTTCCCCAGCACTTGTAGCAGCATAAAAAAAATCACACATAATCAACACCGTCCCCGATATTCCTTGCCGGCCGCTCTCCGGCTGCAGAGGGAGGCAGCTCTAAAGCATAAACATTGCTCCTGCTCTTGCGCTGCAGCTACGGGCATGGTTTTTTTTCGTTTGGTGTCCCCGTCCCCCCCCAAAATCAATCTTTGTTCACACGTGTATGGCAGCGCGATGTGCCTGGCTTTTAGCGGGCAATTGTCTCCTACAGACTCTGCCAACAGCTCCCGTTGGTTCTGCGGTGTGAGCAGACAGTGAGCGAGAGAAATAGCTGCCTCTCCAGATCTATAGATAAGCAGGCGTTGTGTACAGATACATGTATATCTGCATGTAGCACCTGCCTATATACACACACACACACACACACATATATAATATATACAAATAAGAGTCAGGATAGCCAGATATACATCTTGCCTTAGAAGAAGCCCTCCTCCAAGCATTCTCCCACAGCATGGGTGCTGCAGGGGGGGGACTGCATGGTGCTGGACCCCTATCCCTGCTCATTGGCCCATGCTCTGGCATGGCTTTGCCTGTGTTTTCCATCTGTCTGCAGTGATGGGGGGGCGCTGTACCCCCAGCTGGGTGGTAGAAAGCGAGCAGAAACACATCACAGGGAAAATAGGATCCTAAAGGGTGTTGGACCATGGAGGGTGCAAAGTCACCCCATGCCCTGGTGCTGCGGTGGGTTGATGACCAGGCAGCATGGGTGGTTTGTGGTCCATGGTGGGAGCAGAGGGGCGGAGATGTTTGCCCACATATTGAAAGCCTCTGTGGGTGGAACGGAGGGGGTGGGCACCCCCAAGTCACAGCTGGGACCCCTCGTGGGTGACCTGCAACAGCAGCACTTGCTGTAACTTGGCCAAATCGCTGCTCCTCATCCTAGAGTCCATGCAGAGGATGGTCGAGCCACCCCTCAGCCTGGCTGTTGAGAGTCATGGATGGCTGTGGAGAGCAACAAGATGTGTCCCTGGTGGGGGGCCATGCCAAGGGAAGAGAAAGACGGATGGGGAGACAGGTGGCAGGGAGCATGGCCTAAAAAAAAAGGGATGTAGAAAAGAAAAGCATCATTTCTGTGCATCTGTGCATGGCGAGGCCGTGGGCTTTGCTACCCCTTCCAGGGTTTTGGTGAAGGTTGGCAAAGGAAGATGCGCTGGACACCGTCGAGGTGCGGGGTGCCACCTCATCACCCTCAAAAAGGATGGGCACGAACCAGTGTCGGCTGGCCGGGAGCACTGCGGAGGCTGCAGTGGCTGACACCGCTAATCTCTCTCCCCGCTGCCCAGAGATCCCCCAGTGCGCTGGCTGCAGCCAGCACATTCTGGACAAGTTCATCCTGAAGGTCCTGGACCGGCACTGGCACAGCTCCTGCCTCAAGTGCGCTGACTGCCAGATGCAGCTGGCCGACCGCTGCTTCTCCCGGGCCGGCAGCGTCTACTGCAAGGAAGACTTCTTCAAGTGAGTACCATGCGGAGCATGCCCCCCCCTCAAAAGCAGCCTCTCCCCTCCCGCGAAGCAGAAGAACACACAACCTATTTTTAAATGTAATTTTTCAAAAAAAATCTTAGTCTATCTTTCCATTTTGTTGTCGTTGTGGACATAAAGGAGATGTTGGTGCTTTCCAGCTGCCGCAGGCTGGATGCTGGTTTTTGGGATTGAACCGTCAGAGAGCCCCGGATCTCCCTGGTGCTCCCGTTGCTGCCGTGTGCTGGGTTCAGACCCCGCGGGATGGCTCCCTGCGGCGTTTCGGCGGTGGCCCCGGCTCCGCGCGGAGCTAGAGGGCAGGAGTAACCCGTGCAAGGCAGCGCTGCTCCTGCCCGAGCTCTGTCAGCTCCTCAGCTCCTCACCTCACCCGGCTTTGCTGATGCCGTTTCTTCCCTTCATATTTTTCCCTTTTTTTTTTTTTTAAAATCCTTCTTTTGCTCCTGGTAAAAACCTCATTTGATTTTGTCGGCAGCTGCCTCAGCACTGTGCGATGCCCCAGCCTCGGCATTTCCCTGCTCCCGCCAGGCAGGACGATTCCTTTCCCATTAAAAGTGGACTTTTCAGCAGGGATGCTTTAGTCCCTGGCTGCCGGCAGGATCTGGGAGCTTTCCCAAGGGATAGCAGAGAGTACAGGGGCTGGGCACAGCTCTGCCGGTGGCGAATGGCCGGGAAGTGGAGGGGCTGCTGCTTCACCCTTTAGGCTAAACCGACTGATGGCGATTACACCCCGCACTAATCCCTGGGCAGGACTTTCCCTGCCCATCCCCGGGCTATCAAGCCTCCTACGGGTCCCTCCCCTCACCCATCAGGGTTGAAGACGCACCTTGAATTTCTCCTTCCCATCCGGTCAAGTACTGCCCAAGTAATAACACTTCACTTCTGATATTTTCCAGCCTATTAATCTCCGAGTCATTTAAATAGTTGCCCAAAAGGTGCAGGTAATCAATGTTAATTAGAGTTGAAAGATCAGCGACTTTCTTAGATGAGGTCCTGCCTGGATTATTCGGTGCCAATCAATAGCATCTCGGTGCTCGCTCAGGCTCTCGCCTCACCTTTATTTCAACCGCTCATCGATTTCGGCGTGGGTAACCCGCAGAGGACGCGAGGACTTAAGGCCAAGTGTAGAGGCAGGTTTACAATGAAGGAGTTGCTTCCAAAAAGACCAGATTTAAAAAAAAAAACACACAATATTTTCTTCCTTCCTACGAATCGCAGTGCTTGGTCCCTGGCTGCGAGCAGCCCTGCCCTGAGTCTGGCCATCCCCAGGTGGTGCAGAAAGAGCCCATAATGCTGGGGGTTGTTGAAGTGGCTTTAATAGCGTTATGTGAGGGGGGCTGGATGGGCAGAGGGAGGATGGGGGCTGCAGAGCATGCACTGATTCAGCCTTGGGTGCAGAAAAGCATCATCTGTCTGCCTGTGCTATCCCTCCCTCTGTCACCCATCCCATCCCATCCCGCTGACGCCAGCAGAGCTGAGGTGTCTCCAGCAGACATCTGGGGGCTCTCCCTTTGGGATACATCCCTGGGTGTCACCTGCATGACTCCAGGACAATTTTGGGGACCCAACTTCGGTGGCTGTGCCCTGGCTTTGCAGAGGGCGCAAGGGCACAGGCAGCTGTGGGGCTTGTGGGGTGTTTTTGCGTGATCAGGAGATGCTCTGTGAGGCAGCAAGAGGTGACTGCACCCCCTGGGCATCCCCAAACACCACCACCTCCCCCTGCAGCCTTTGTGCTGGGGACCAAGACGTTTAGGGTTTCCCTTTTCCAGTGCTGCCACCACTTCGTGGCATATGGCGCCCTCGTAATAACTCAGTTTATAGCAGGTGTTATCCAGGTGGTGTTATGTGGGTGTTAGCCTTCATGTCTGCATAGGGCAACTGCACCCTGCTACAACCCTGGGCTGCACTCCCATGGCAGCACCCAGCCCGTGGGTGCTCCCGGAGTGATGGGCACCCCAGGCTCCCTGCAGCAGAGCCCCTGCCATCTGTGGGGGCTGCTGGCCATGCTCTTTGTCCCATTCTTGCATGCTCCTTGCAGCCGTGCTGTGGGCTGGCTTGGACCCACGCCTACCCAGCGTAGGGGTGGCACCCGTCGGGCTGTCATTATGGTGTAAGAGCCCCATCATTCTGCATTAATCTGGGATTCATCATGCTTGTGGGGCGGTGTAATTAATTTATTTGGTATTAATGTGGATGAAATATGTACTGTCCTTGCAGGGGAAAATCAGGCAGCCTATAAGCATTAGTTAAAAGAACCATTAAAATCAAACCTCCCTCAGCTCCATTAGGCCGGTCTTTCACTCTGAAGAAGATAAACCCCTGCCGTGTGAAGTGTCATGCATAATTAGGTTGATTGCTGGTTTAAACTCTGCCCCATCTCCTGGTCCCCACCCCATCTCCAGCGAAGCCTACCTCACCGCGGGGCTCAGGGTCACTCGCTTCTCCCTGCAGGCGTTTCGGGACCAAATGCACGGCGTGCCAGCAGGGCATCCCCCCCACCCAGGTGGTCCGCAAGGCCCAGGACTTCGTCTACCACCTCCACTGCTTCGCCTGCATCATCTGCAGCCGGCAGCTGGCCACCGGCGACGAGTTCTACCTGATGGAGGACGGGCGGCTGGTCTGCAAGGAGGACTACGAGACCGCCAAGCAGAACGGTAGGCGCCCCAAAAGAGCTGTGAGACGGGACATTATGTCAAGGAACGGCTGTGGATCATGCCACTGGTGGTGTGTCTGCGGGAAGCGGTTGCTGTGGGGTCTGGGGCAGCCGGTTTTGGGGGAGCTTTTCCCCAGCAGTGTGGGCTGGTGGTTTGGGGTTGCTCACGCTGCTGCGGTTGGGGCTGGTACCGGCTCCTTCGCTTGCAGATGACTCCGAGGCAGGCGCGAAGCGGCCCCGCACCACCATCACGGCCAAGCAGCTGGAGACGCTGAAGAACGCCTACAAAAACTCCCCCAAGCCCGCCCGGCACGTGCGGGAGCAGCTCTCCTCCGAGACGGGGCTCGACATGAGGGTGGTGCAGGTGAGGCCATGGGGGTGCCCCTGGTCCACACTGCCCCTAGAGAAGAGGGATGCACGGGTCCCGTTGCGGGGGCTGTGCTGCAGGGGGGCTGGGTTTCAGCAGTGCAGGGGTGCCAGGTTGGTGGGTTTCAGGGATGCTGGGATGCAGGGGTGTGTGTGTGATGGATCGCACAGGTGCTGGCATACAAGGTGCTGGGATGGAGGAGTATCAGATAGCCGAGGTGCAACCTGGGGTGTAGGGGTGCTGGTTTGCGCGTGTGTGTTGGAGCTGGGTTGCATAGATGTTGGCATGCCAGGGTGCAGGGGTGCCGGGTCGTATGGGTGCTGGCACGTGGCATTGCACGGGTGCTGGGTGGCAGAGGTGCAGTGATGCTGGTGCACTGGGATGTAGGGATGCCAGGGTGCTGGTATGCTGGGTGGCAGGGGTGCAGGCCTGCAGGGGTGCCGGCATGCAGAGCTGCCGCGGTGCCATCGAGGTCCCCGTTTCCCGCCCAGGTGTGGTTCCAGAACCGGCGGGCCAAGGAGAAGCGGCTGAAGAAGGACGCGGGGCGGCACCGCTGGGGGCAGTTTTACAAGAGCGTCAAGCGGAGCCGTGGAGGAGGCAAACTTGAGAAGGAGAGCTCGGCTGAGGACTGTGGCGTCAGCGACAGCGAGCTCAGTTTTCGTGGTGAGTAGGGATCTGGTGCGGGGCTGGGGGACTATGGGAGTCACCCCTGTGCTGACCTCCTCCCTCTGCTCTTCCTCCTCTCCCCGGCAGAAGACCAAATCCTCTCCGAGCTGGGCCATACCAACAGGGTTTATGGCACCGTGGGGGACGTGGCGAGCGGACAGTTGCTGAATGGCAG